CCCCAAAACCCCAAAACCCCAAAACCCCGAATTTTCAAATCAACTTCCAAATTTATGTTAATAATATTTAATAAACTTATTATAAAATTCAAAGAGATATTTGATTCAATTTATAGAGCTGCCTTGACTTAAGTCTTTATGATTATGCTGACTTGTAAAAGTGTTTTTACCTTCTTAGCCAGGATTTAATAGTGTTTCTTACTTGCTATAAGGATAAATCTTCTTGAAACTTTTAAGACTCCTTAAGAATGATTCAAATTACTTTGCAGTTAAAAACTATTCAGAGAGAATTGTTGGATCGCTTAAAGGGCTATAATCTTTTTGAAAGAGACTACCCTCCTCATCTACTTCATCATCATCTGATAATTCTTCATCACTTTCGTCACTTTCCTCATCTCCTCTATTATCATCGAACTAAAAAGAGACATTAGCACTAACTTATTTTTTCCCTTTATTTTTATTTAGAGTATTTTTATATCCTGCAATTGTTGGATCATTGTTAATGTTTTATTACATTTTAATAATGCTGTCGGCAAAATTATTTATTTTTCTTGGTTGCTCACCCAAAACTGGATTGGATTTGTCAGTTGTATTATTTGATGTAGGATTCATTAGGATTGAGTTTATACTCTCTGTACCATAATTAGGTCTGCTCATATTAGAAGCCGGATTCGATGTGAATAATACATTTGGATTACTATTTTCAGTAAAATTACTTTGCAATCTTTTTTTCTGCTTCTTAATTTTACGATGATACTTCCTGCGTTTCTTCAAAGCAAATTTTCCATTATGATAGCATAAGTAAAGTAGCGCTATTCCAGTTAAAAAATCAGCAAGGTTTCCCAATATTATTTCTATTTCTTTTCCTATCAGTATCTTGTCACTATTGAACTCATCTGTGAGTCTTTCAACAAATACTGGCAAAACCACATCATCATATATTGTCCTAACTAGCAAGATACTGATAGTTATCAACACAAACAAATATATCTATAAATTTATTAAGGCTTTTAATAACTAATTATTTACAAGTGTGTTAAAAAACGTCCATGTCTGATTCTTTTCCTGCATGGCTCTTGCTTTTTAATCTTTGAAATAAAGAAATAGCATCAAGAGTTGGTATTATATGTAGATATCTGGAATTACTGAAACTATTTAGAAGAATCTAAAAGATATGTTAGATTAAATGATGAAAATATTTACATGTAGAAATTCAGAGCAATAACTTCTGCCTAAGTAAACATTTAGAAATCTATTAGCATTTTTGTAATGACAAGGCAAACAGTTATTACTGCGTAACTCAAAAAGTAAAACATCTCTAAAACTTTATTACACCTTAATGATTACTTAATCTTCTTAGTTTTTTAACTTTTTAAGAGTATTCATCAGGAGTGTCACATTCAAAGAGATAATATATTCCTTTCCTAGAGGATATTTTGTTTTACTAAACAATACTTACATTTTAAATACAAAGATAGCTTGAATAATGAGAAATAGATTGCTTTATAATATTTGTAAATATAATTGTCCTGACTAAGGGATCATTCTCTTCTTATCATTCTCAAGATCTGAAATTATATCCAAGACAATGCAAGTAATTGTCTTTACTATCATAAATTAAGGCTACTAAATGAATTTACCAATATAGACTGCAATGAAAATAATGACTATGGTTAGTGAAAACTTATCCTAGGCACAATTGATTCTCTTTAACAAAAGATAAGAGGTTATTGTGAAAAATAAAGTGAACGAAGCAATTATGATTGATATCCCAAACCAGAAATCATATTGCATTTTATAATATATAAATAATCTAAATATTATCTCCTTTTATAAATCTTTATAAATTGAGGGGTTTTGGGGTTTTGGGGTTTTGGGG